CGACAAAAAAGAAATTATTATATTTATGGATGATAACTCTCATTTTGAGTGTCATTTACATTTCGTTAGTATGTCTTTTTATTGGTCCTAGGATATAATGATTTACACATAATGCATTTGTAGAAGGGGGATTTGAGTACAAACATAACAATTTTTCACTTTTAATTATATATTTTGTATTAAAACAATTACAAATTTGTTACGGAAGCTAGAAAGGTAAGACCTGTGATTCTAAACAATCTGACTGGTGATAAGTGTGCTAATACTAAAAGAGTGAGAGGAAAAACCTTTTCAGATTTAAATTAAGGACTAAGATAATTCTTTAGATGTCGATGTCGATTTTGCCTAAGAAACTATCACATAGAAGATCTATCAGAACGGGTGAATAGCAATGTATGACAAGGGTGCCTTTTTATAGTCATCATTGTATTAAATGTTACTATTCAACTTTAACACATGTCTTTATTTGATTTGATGATCCATGCATGTTTGTACTCTTTATTTAAGTCTTTATGGTTGATGTAGAAATTTGTTATCTTGTCTCATCATTTTGTATTCAGAGGGAACAATGAAAAAAATACGACACTAATTAATAAAATAGTGATTTAGAACTTATTTTTGGCTGGCATGTTGAGCATGTTCCCATATCAGGATAAGTGTTCAAAGAGTTGATGAGCCAAACTTGTTGAACAAGTTTGCACTCCAAATCCGGGTTGCCAATAGTAGTATTTGTCAGACTACTATTTGATTTTATCTTGTATTGACCTTTTTTCGACTAGATGACAAACCAATCAACTTTGGTGACTATCTTGACGTCATTTCAACTAGTCTTCGATTTTGTTGAAAGCTTTTTGTTTTTGGATCAATAAAGATAGTTACAAGACTTTTATAAGTAAAAATTATATTTTTTTCTATTCCAAAATATAAGCTATAAGTTTCATTCTAAAATAAGTTGGAACAAATTGTGAGTTCTTGAAAATCAAGATAGAATGACCAAAATGATAGGTCAGATCAAAGATTAGATTCTCCAGATAGGATGGAGAATAATCAAATCAAAGATTTAATCTCACAAGTTTATCTGAGCTATAGATCTGATGTTTGAGTAAGATCCGAAACCTTAACCCTCACAAGTTACTAAAGTTTAAATGTTAATCCTTTTATGTTATACCCAATTGATGTTGTTATCGGGTAAAAATGTTACAAGGCAAATGATAAAAATTTATTTCTAAGTGTTGAAACAGATGTTAGTTATAAAATCTAAAAAGCCGATGGTTGAGACCAACAATTTTTATTCTATTTTAGTGTGTGTTTTCCCGTTTTGTGTTCATATTTCCCCTTTATTTATTTATTTTAATTTGGAGTTGTTGAGGATAAGGCCGACAGAAGGAAAGCTCGTTACTACAACAGTAAGGGTCGGAGAAGGGCAATCACTCATCGATGGACTGTTTTACTCTTTTAAGTGCGCATCACTGGTCATTATGGATCTAGTTTGCATTTTGATTAGTGTATGTGTCATTTTTGAACTTGTGCATCATTGTGGCCAAGTTCACGACTATGGCACTGGCAAGCAACATATGTGAAGATTTCTGGCAGCAGATTTGTTTCTAATTCTGGAAATGAGGTGCAGATTTGAATTCTGATCAACCTTGAGATTTTCATGAAAGTGAATTAAAAAAGAAGACAAATGAGATCATGACAACATGGCGGAAGAAGTCATCATTAAGAGGTCCCTCTCCTCTTTCAAGTCTCTTTCAAAAGGAGATCAAGACAAACCGAAGAAGAATACAACCTTCGTAATGTCTTTTTTTCCCTCTCTCTTGTCTCTCTCGATCTCTCTCATTCTTCACCTATAAAAAGAAGCTTGGGAATTCATCTTCAAAGACTTTTTACCTTGAACTTCAGCAATATAGAAGTTTAAGGCTTAGCTTATATTTCATTCACTTAGTTTATTTGTAATTTATTTTCTACATTTCAATTTTGTTATCCACTGTGGCGACGTTGTGGCCATAATGTCGAATTTCAGTTAATGCAATTTAACTTAAAATATATCTTTTCTTTTATTATGATTTTTTTAAGCATTAGCTAAGCTCCTCTTTGGGTGTGGGTGTAAGCCAAACCCAATATGTAAAATGTAATACTTGAGTGTTACCATTTTTTTCCAACTTTTCAATCTGGTCATTCAAGTTGAAATTTTAACTCAAAGAGTACAAGCGGCTCACTTATGTGTGTTAATATTAGATCTTAGAATCAGAGATGGACGAATTTAAAATAGGACTTGAATGATGCAAAGAGGTTTGAGAAAATCGTCAATAATCATATAGAGATAGGGGTTGCTGCATAATCTTTAGTAAGGTTCAGATGTCGGTTGAGTAGGTGTGTCATAAAGATATACACATCTCTCTTTACTTGCGGAGCTAAGATCTTCAAGATCTACTTACTAAAGTTGCGAAACCGAAAGTTAGCAGTTGTGGTCACTTTATGGCGAGACCATGACCACATTTCGCACGACGTAGCTTCGAGAGAAGGAAACCATGTGGGGTTATTTGTGAACGGTTTTGTCAACCATTTAAATTATTATCACATTCTTGGAAAAACTTACATACATACCCGTTTTCTATTACATGTCATTTAAATCATTAGTTATCTCAAAAAGACGATCAATTTTATAAAATCCAAATTTGCACTACAAGTTATTGGAAATCTTAATTTTTAGTAAGACCAGCCTTTAAGCCCCTACGGATACGATCTTAGTATTATACCATTATATTACTTGAAGGCGAACTCAATAATTGATGTATACTTGCACCACTATTGTGCCATATTTACGTGTGTATATATTTACCATCAACAGATACACATTTTCAGTCACTTTAATTAATGATATTGATAAATTAATTTAAAAAGAGTTTAAATTGTTAAGTATTATATAGTATCATTCGGTTTGCATTTATATTACATTGGATTACATTTGTAATGTGTTTTTATTTTCTAATTAATCTATACTATTTTATAAAGCATTTGACAAAAACTCTTAAAAACCATTTTTTTTTTCCACGAAGTACTGTTTATTAATGCATATTACTTAAAATTTAAGATTACAAGTAAATTGTGCATAAGTACAACTTATTAAACTCCATACTTGAATTCGTCTAACTAACTGCAGATAAAGATAATCAAATATTGGATAAACATCTCATTTTAAATATAAAAATCTAAAATATAATTAGGATAATCATTGATAACTAACAAAAACTTAGTTATTATCTTTATAAAAAGTTAATTTGTATAACTAACCGCAGATAAACATAATCAAATTTAGGATAAACATCTTCTTTTAAATATAAATATCAATATTTTTTTTTTCAAAATTTTATGATATCTTCGAATTTATTTTTATTCAAAAGTAAAAACATTATTTTTATCAAAACCACATAAACCGTATTATATATCAACAAAGACAAAAGATAAAACGAAACATTAAAATAAAGATGTATCTCGCTGCATTGCGCGAGTACCTTCTAGTTATATTATAAAACATTTGGAAAAAAGTTTTAAAAACATCATTAATTATTAATTATTACACGTTACAGCTTGTATTTGGTTTGGTACAACCTCCACTACTCTAATCCTAATCCACACCCTTAAGCTAGGGTTTGTTATGTAAACATCATTGGATACGGATGGACAAAACTCGATAGGACAAGAAAGCAGGACTAGATAGGCTCTGTCAAAACAAGATTAGACAGGAAAGTTGTCTGTATCATGTTTGGTATGACTAGGGCTGAATAGGATAGTACTAGACAAGTTGTCCTTAAAATTTTGTTGATGTTCTTATATATCATATAAGGTTCTAAATGGTGTAATTAAGCCTTAGGAGCCAATGATATTTTCCAAGGTGTGACTTATGACGACAAATCTCTATATGATATCTATAGATTATATAGATATCATATAAAGTTCTAAAGTATAGAATACATTGAATCTGAGAAACTGGATGATTTAAAAGATGTTAATAAGTATCTAAAGGTATATTTGCTTCTTCGATTCCCATAGTGATCGACCAAAATTTCTATTAAAACATGATGGTTCTGTATCTTTTTTGGTTAAAAGTTTGATATCAATGATATAATTATCCTCTTCAGACGCTTGTATCCGTGTTGGAGTCTAAAGATTCGGTTTGGTTTTATTTTTGGTTTCCTTTTTGTATACATAGCAATTGTGATAGCCCTATTCTAGGCAGTAATCCATCACAACTCATCAAAATTAACCTACTAAAACCAATTATAACCCTTTTGGAAATAAAAATAAAAAGAAACAAATTCTCGTAGGTAATATGTAACATCATCGACGAATAACTGTCATATGTCATACAAACGTGAATTTAAATGCACTTTGTTGGTAATCCATTGGAAATCTACTTGTGTAATAATGGTGGATTATCGACGAATGTCATAAAAAACAAATATTCTAAAAAACCTACATTTAAATATGCCGGTAATCCGTTGGTAGTTGTTTCAAATTACCAACAGGATTTCAAAGGAATCTTGAAAAACTAAAACCGTTATCGTCACTCAACAACAAATTATCAATGGAATAACAAGTCATTGTAAAATTACCTCTATAATCCATCATTCATCAACAACGGATTACAAAGCGATATTGACTTTTCATTAATCCCTTTGTAATTCGTCGATAGATATTTTGGGCTACAAAAATGTCGGTGTTTACTCGGTGATCCGTCAACAATATCCCATGATTACAAGAAAAAGTATGTATGAAATATAATGTTTATTAGTTTATACAAAATAGAAAAATATGGAGGCTTTAGAGTTTGGAGAAGTGTTTTCCAATACAATCAATGATAAGAGACTTGAAAACTTAAAATGTGCATCAAGTCTTTTGATACTTGCAAGTAATAATCTCCTCATCTATTACAAATAACCATCACTCTACCATTTGATACACATTCCATCAATCTCTTCAATATTTCACAAATTACAATGGCGGCGTCTCTTCAATCGCAATATATGTTCCCACATTTTCCTCCACCACCATCTCCCGCCGGAAAACCACCATCTCCTCCTCCTTCTCATGCATCGCCACCACCACCTTCTCCCACTAGACCTTCACAACCTCCTCCACATATCATGGTACCGCCTCCACATGCCCTCCCCCCACCATCTCCTCCGCATGCCGTCCCACCACCGCCACATACCCTCCCACCACCACCGCCACATAAAATCCCACCACCACCACCACATACCATCCCACCACCACCGCCACATACCATCCCACCGCCATCGCCTCCACATATGATCCCACCACCACCACCACCACCACCTCCTTCTCCAGGGAACCATACGACAATCATTGTGGTGGTGTTTGTTTCATGTGGTGGTGTTTTCTTCTTGGCATTCATTATGGCTGCATTGTGGTGTTTCCTCAAGAAGAAGAAGAAGATGGTCCGAAAGGCTGAAAATGTGCACGTGGATGAACACCGAACAGTGAAAGAGAGTATTGTACAAGGACCACATGGGACTGAAACAGTGATGCTTTCGGTGGAAGATGATATACACATCGAAGAAGATATCAGGAAGAGTGAAATCGAGAATTTCCGAAAAGGTTTGCATTTGAATTCTGGTGTCATTGATGCAGCATCTTCTAGTACTGGCGACCACCATCATGGCCAGAAGTTGTGAGATTATACACGTTGGACTACTAAAATTCCTGCAGCAGCGCAAGCTTCAAGTTCAGAACAAATTTGTGTAATAAATATGGTTGTTTTAATGTGGTGTAAAACTGTTTTCATTATTATGTATCGATCTATTTGAATTTTTGTTGACTTTGTTTGCTAATTGACAACCAAGTTGACTGCTATTTTATAAATTAAATGAGAGAATACATATAATAATTCACCAAAATGGGTAGAAATAGATAAAAAGATGAACTTGGATACCGATTTAGATTCGTGGAAGTCACCTAGCACCAACACATGTACAGGTTCCTTTTTGACGTTTCCCCCATTATAAAAGCTCAAACCCACCACCACCGCCACAAACCCAGCCCTTTTGGATATTTTCCGGCGACAAAACAGAGAAAAAGATGCCCAGGTCACCTCCCCACCATCACAACGCTCCACCGCCTCCTGTGGTTCATCACCATCCTCCACCACCACCTCCGGTTGTCCACCACCCTCCTCCACCTCCACCTATGGTCGACCACCACCCAGTGGCGGATCCAGGATTTTGGTCTAGTGGGGGCACCTTTAAGGTAGCTTAAACGCCCACAAAGTCGTCCTATGTGTTTTTAGCCTTATTCCACCATTCCAAGAGATTTTTGAAGTTTTTTGGATTATTTTGAGGGATTTTTAAGGTTTTTTTTATCAATTTCGAGAAACTTTTCAGTTTTTTGGTTGATTTCAAGATACTTTCTTTAGTTGGTGGGGGCCTAACAAGAAATTACGGAGGAAAACCATGGTAGAAAATAAAAAAAAAACAACTTTTACCCTTAGAAAATTTATTTTTTTTAATTTTTTAGTGGGGGCCTTTCCCCCCACCTTTTACAAGCTAGATCCGCCCCTGCCACCACCCACCTCCACCTGTGGTCGATCACCCACCTCCACCACATAAGCCACATCCACACAGCCATCACCACTGACAAGATCAGGCGTGCAGGTTGCAGATCTACAAGCTAGCACTGTGTTGTAATATGGTTGCTGTGTAATTTTATGATATCCATGGCATATACTAAACTATCTATTTCCGTTTTATTGTAATTTCTTCTTTAATTAATTTCTTTTATGTTAATAATGGTGCTGGTTGTGGATTTGCATATTATATATTATTATTATGACGTTATGTAATATGAAGATTTAACGTTATCGATCATAATCTTGTGTACGTAAATTTCTTCCATTTCTTAAATCTCATCCTCGTGAATTGCATGATCCATTTTCTTGGTAATAAATTACAGGACCCAATCCATAAACCAAACACACATCGTCATCGGTACTTTTAAGGAAAATATATATATATATATATATATATATATATATATATATATA